TTATCTATACAGATCTTATTAGGTCGTATCGTATAACCTAAAAAATTGACTTCTTATGTATAGAATTAAACTTTTTCTGGTTCGACTAATAGGTCGGCGTTTTATAGGAGTTATAGAATCGTGTGAACGTGTTATCGGTGTTTTTCGAGTGTTTTAGAGAAGATCAGGATATTATCCAGGTATACTATAACAAAATAGTCTAGATACTTCCTTAGGATGTTATTAATAAGTGTTTAGAATAATGCCGGCGTGTTTATTAATCTAAAAGGCATAACGAGGTACTCGAAGTGTCCTCGCTTCGTTCGAAACGCTATCTTCTACTCTTCTCCTTCCTTAATCCTAATTAAGTTATAGGCTCCTTTTAAGTCGAGTGCCGTAAACTATTACGCTTTAACTAGCTGATCTCGTATTTCTAAGATAAGAGGTAGTGGGTAACGGTTCTTAATAGTGATATCGTTAAGTTATCGATAATCGATATATAGTCGTAGCTTACTGTTTTTCTTTAGTATAAATAAGATCGGGTACCCTGCCGGTGATTATAATACTCTGATATAGCCTTTTGTTAGTATTTCTTCGAGATATTCTTCTAAGGTATCTGATTCTCTTTAGTTTAGCCCGTAAATTGGAAAGAATTTTAGGTGTGCCTTTTCCTTTAGAGGTATCTCGTGATTATAGTGTCGGTATTTCGGTAATCCGGTCTCTAGATTTTCGGTAAATAACTTTCTGTATTTACGGTATTCTAGTAATACCTTAGCGAGTCTATCGTGATCGCTTATTACTAGTCTTTTTTCTGCTTAGACGATCTGGTAGATCCCTTTGATAATATTAGTTGCGCGTCGGTGGTTATGCTGTCGCTGCTGTCTTAAAGTCTTTTATACTTCCTTCGCCTTAGTCCTTGACTCCGGGCGGCTGTCTAAGTCTCCCTAAGGCTCCTTCGTCGGTAAGTCTTTCTGCTATTTTCGACGGATATCGGGATCGGGTAAGGTTTCCTTCGTAGTCCCCTGCTTACTCTCTAATCTCTACCAGAGCTGGCTAAGCTTCTAGTCTATATCGGGATTCTATTCGTTAAACTATAGTTTACTAAGGATAACGTCCTTATAACCTATATTATATATATCGAACTTTATTATTTTAGTCCTAGCCTGAATTTTAGCCTAAAGGTATATAGTCTCCTAGTTAATAATAACTTCTTCGTGGGACTAGTTCTTTCCCGTATACAGAGTAATCTTATACTCCTTTTCTGGGTGTTTTCTAACCTAGGGAATAAAGAACTTTCTCACGGCTACTAGTAAGATAAAGTTTCCTACTACGCCTATATCCAATAATACGTTTATCTTATATTCGTTAAGTCGTATTCTAATATAGCAGTACCCTATACTACTACGTGTTATAGAGTATATCTATCGAGTGCCTCTCGCGTGCTCCTTACGATAGTATACTCCTAGTATTTTGCCCGTTTAGCTCGGGGTTCGGGGAATATCTCTTTATCCGAGAATTCGTGCTGGATTAAGAGCCGTTCTACCTATCGTAGGCGCTTATTAAGGGTCTAGAAGCGTGATTCCTAAGCTTCCTGGTTTTATTCTAGTTATTGGATTTTCTTAGTAGCGTGTACTATACAGCTAGTAACACGGTATTCGTTTAATCGGGATTCGCAGTGGTTATGCCTAGGTGGCTGATCGCTCGACCCTTGTAGGCTTATCGCTAGGCTAAGTTTAGCAAAACGGACTTAGTGGGTTTGCCTAAGGGGTTCCTCCGCGAGCTAGTCGAGTATCCGCAGCTGGATAACTTCCTCCTCGGCTAGGTTAGTCGTTTCCTAGGGTTAGTACTAAGAGTCCATGTCGCTATCCGGGATTCCACTAGACTCCGTCTCCTAATCTTATTCGCTAATCCTAGCGGCTTTCCCTTACTCGGAACATGCATAATCCTTTTTCTTAAGTTAGTATTCCTCTTCGGGGGTGGGTCCTACTTCCTAGAAGGCGCTAAAGCCTCCGCTGCTAGTACTCGTGTGGACTCCCCGTTCCTCCCGAATCTCTAGGATCTGTTTTTATCTTTCCGCTTCTTCTTTCGTCTATCCGTATTTTCGAAGGATTTCGGTAATAGTTTATAAAGCTAGTTCGTCCTTATCCCAGTCGTGGTTCTTAAGGCTATAGTCGTCGTCGTATTTATTACTAGATACTATAGCGAGTGTTTTCTAGGGTCTCTTAGGGTAGTATCCGGGTCCGTCTTTCCCTGATTAGTATGCTAGATAATAGTTATCGTAGTAGGCTGCCTAATAAAGGTTGACGTGTGGTATTTCGTCCCTACGAATTTCCAGGTGTTTAATAGCGTTAATTTCCTTCTGGGGTTTCCCTTTCTCGATCGTATTTGCTTATCGTTACGGTCATTCCTTCTTAGGCTTATAATAGTCGCGTGCGTAGTGACCTGGCTTATTATAGTTATAACACTTGACTTTCGTTATATCTCTTTTACCCTTCTTATCGCTCTATCGGTTAATATTATCGAGCTCTATGGGTCCACTATGGTACCTATATAAGGTGTTTCCGAACTAGCGTGGGTGTGGTTGTCTTTTTTTCGAATTAGCCGTATAGAACAGGACGCTCGTTTAGTGTTTCTTCTAACGGCGCTGTTCGTAGTTCCGATTATCGATACGAATTACTATTACGGTGTATTCGCTAAATATCTTAGGTCGGTCTAATCGATATAGTTCGTCCTTCACTTCTTCCTTTAGTCCTTAGTAGTACCGATCCATAAAGGGTTTGTCCGGGTAGCTAAGCTTCGATAAGATTTGCTAGAACTTCGTAGTATAGTCCGTAGCCGACTTAGTCTAGTATAGCTAGCTTAGTCGTTCGGCCGCGACTCGCTTTTTATCGGGCTGGCCGAAGATAGCACTAAGTCTTTCGACGAATACGTCGAAGTTCTCGAAGATTATCGTGGTCTCAGGCCTCCTTAGAACTTCCGTTCCTATATTTTCCAGGTAGTCTTTATAGATAGATTCGAACTATTCGTGCGTATCTCCCGTAAGGAGTGCCGCGGTATAGAGTACCTTAGTTTCTTCCGTACGGATACTATCCTAGTAGAATAAAAGGTAACCCCTAAGCTGGGTAATAAAGCTCTAAAGCTATCCTCGGGTTCTATCGTACTTAGGGGGTATAGGGTACCTGTACTTGGCCCTAATCCCAGGATGGTTTAGCTAAGCTCTTAGGGTCGTATTTTCCCCCTGAAGTTGAGTGATTATATCGCGAATCTGCTAAAGGTCGTTACTCCCCTTAGTGGTGGTGATAGGTGTCGCGGAGCTTATAGCGTTCGTGGTATAGTTATTATTACCCGATATATTAGAAGAGTGATTACTGGCTACTTCGTCGTCTTATTAAGATTATTCTGGCTCTTCCTCTTCGTCGGAGGAACTGGATTCTTTAGACGATAATTCTTCTTTAGATAAAGTGACTTCTTCTTCCTTAGGCGAAGTAGCTTCTGCTTTAGGCGTACTGCTTATTAGCTATTAAGGTTAGCTTACCGAATAGGATCGATTAAAATATTATATCGGCTTCCGATCCTCTATAGTTATAGTGGACGATAGGGGATAGGCGTAGGGTTTAGTTCTTAAGAGTAAGAGAGGATAATAACTAAAGAGTAATAACTATTATTCGTAGTGTCTTAGTTATAGTTGCGTCGTAAAGACTAGGCGTCTTCTTTATAAGGTAGAGTCAGGCGTAGACTAATAGTCTAGGTGAAGACTTAGATTAATCGATATCTTATTCCCTAGTAGAAGCAAGACCTAGGATACTCTGGTATATATATGTATTTCCGGCGCCCGGACCGATACCCTCCTACTATAATCCTTTTGGGATTATGGGTTGTCCTGGATGATCCCTTCGGATCATAGGGATTATCCATTAAGTCCTTCGATCCGGTGGTCACGTGTCCGCGCACGTGACCAGCGTTCCTCCTGACTCAGCTTGCCCTCCGTGCTATAGTGGTGCCTATACTTAAGACCCAGGGTCCCGCAGCAGGCCCGGCCCGGGCCTTGTCTTGCTGGCCGTAACAGGTAGCTAGTTTACCGGATAACCTGAAAAGCTACGACTACCGGCGAGGAAACCTTAAGTCGATTAACGGTTCGTATTACCTAATCCAGCCTTTTTGCTCTGTCTCTAACCCTTTTCGTAGCTAATTACCGCTTAATAGTCCGGAAATAAGTCGCCCGATATAAAGACGATAGCACGTTCTAAGACTATTATAATAACGCCCGGACTAACGTCGTTACCCAGGATACGTTCTTTAGCCACGGTACTAGGTCTCCGTACCTTACCCTCTTTAACTAGCTTGGTATCTAGGTCGACGAGCACGCGCTAATAGGCGTTACCGATAAGATAATACGAGTTATCGGCCCGAGCGCTAAGGTCCGAATACTGGATAAGTAGGTCTTATCGCTACGGACTACCCTTAAGTCCCGTTACGGCTAGGCGTATTTAGCGACGGGCGTAGATAAGGCATAATACGACGAACTGCTTAAGTAACGTAAGGCTATCGCCTAAAAGCACCGGCGTAATATAGCGAAGAGTATACGCCGCCACTACTTTAACTTAAAGAACGACTAAAAGCTCGAAAAGCAGTTATACGGTAGCCGTTAGACCGATAATACCCCCTTGCCCGCTATTATATTTATCCGGCCCGAGCGGAGACGTATAGCTAGACTGCTTAGCGACCTCGATACGAACCTATTAGAAGACGAACTAGTCTAGCGGAAGATCGACGTTATTAATGCCTGGGTAGCTCTTACTTAGAAAGTTAAGGTTAAGGAGGCTTAACCGGAACGGATCCCCTTAAAGCCGTCACCCACCGTATCCTCCTTCCCGTTATAACCTCCCCAGCAGAAGCCGCCTTATACGAGGCTAATCAGAGACGTAGCACCGATACTAATATAACACCCGCTCCCTCCCTAGGCTAGGGTCGACTATAGCAAAGAGAATATTAGCCTAGGCGTTATACCTGCTATCAAGTCCTCACCCACCCCTATCGCCACACCCGTCACCGCTATCAAGCCGCTCTATAGCCCACCTATACCTGTGCCCACTACGTCGACACTAACTAAGCTACTCTGCAGCTCGTCTATGCCTCTGGATATTACTCCTGCCCCGATCAAGCCGTCGCTTCCAAGTCCCAGGATTATCATTAAGCGGCCCTCTAGCCTAAAAGAGGCTACGCCGTGTCCTAAGGGGCGGCAGAAGCCTAATCCCTGTATCTTCTACGGACGCATATTCACCCGAATAACCATAATGTGGAAACACGTTGAAAGCCATCTGAAGATGAGAGGAAACCGCCTAGTGCAATGTCCAGTGCAGACGTGTAAGAAAAAGAGTGTGACGCTAGACGACGACTTTGCTTTCCGCGCCTATACGTTTTACGAGCACCGAGTACGCCTTAAGCCGGTCATTCGACTCAGGACGGGCGGGGCGGTTAGCAAAGCCTTACCGTCACTAATTAGGATTATTTTGAAGACGGCGTGTACGTAACGGACCATATCATGTAGCAATGCAATCAATTCCGCACAATCGCTGCCGTCCTCGTTGCTGCTCTCTGTGATGGAGATCAAGAAAGGCTATGAAGGGGCTCACGAGCCATGGTGCCCTCGCACCGATAAATCAAAGCAAACCCTTGCTAACACGTGGACTTCGAGCCCCTACAGGCACCGTAGAGCCCGACGCACCATTAGGAAGCCCGCCGGTTGCTGACGATTGCTTGTACCAGCCCTCTGTGTATCCGGGAGGAATCCGACACGGAAGACTGAGCCTACGCATGGGTTAGAACTCGGGTAAGATGCTATTCAAACGCTACCTAGTAGTTTGGGGAACCATGGATCGTATAGACTATAGCAATGGCTGCTTCTAAGTAGAATCGTGCCCCCCCCGCGTGATAACCGGCTTGCCATAATTCCAACGCGTTAACTGATGACTGCGTGTGAGGATGACTGCAACCAAGCTTTTTCTTTAAGCGATCAATACAATCTTGCATCAGAGCAAGAGCTTCCTCTTCCCGGCCCTGACCGTGTCAAGTGAATGCTAGATTGTTCATGCTGGTTAGCGTGTCGGGATGGTCCGGCCCGAGCTTCGTCTTGCTCGTCTCCATCACCTCCACCTCCAGCTTCTCAGCTTCTTCCCAACGACCCTGCGCCTTTGCTTCCATATGTAGTGGGAGGATGGGCCGTTTTTTCCCTTCTTGACTCACTCCCCACCATCACTCATCGTCACTTCCCCGCCTATTGCCTCCCTTCATCCCACTGGGCCTCTCTTGGTCCATCCCCGCCGCATCCTGGGAGTCAAAGAGGGGGGGGGGGGGGGTTGCCTGCTGGGTCGTAGGGCGAAGGCCATATCGCAATTTCAAACACCAGTCCAATCTTTCACGAATACACGGGTCTTTCGCAGATGCTTTGGATGGCAGGACTGGTGATTTCGAGTGGAGATGCTGATGGCTGGCGACCCCGCTCCTAAATCGAGCAGGCCGTCTGACACCGAAGTCGTCGAGTGAGGCTCAGAGCGCAGAATGAGCGGCCTGTGCGTTTGGTACAAGCAACACCCCGATCCAATTAGGGAGGCTGCACACGGCCACACACGGCGGCCCTGGTTGACGGATGTTAGGCACGAACCAGGACTGCGATATGTCAATAGCAGGACCCCGTTCTACAGCTGCCGACGCGGGTACTAAGAGATGAGATCACTCAAAAGACCTTACTTCATCGAGAAGGATGCCACATCCGTGTACACTCCTTCCGACTGCAATCTACCGCCTCATCAACTCGTTTAGGCCGAGGGTCTCGCGCACACCACCTAAGGCTTGAGGCCATCACGATGTCGTGGCGTCCTGTATTGAAGCATAACTTCGTCGCTGCGTTTGATTGGGTGTGGACGAGCCTCGCTCCATCCCGCAAACGCGTTAACCCCCCAGGTTAATGGGGCGTCTACTTCCAGTCAAATGTAGTGTCATGTGGACTCCACATCCGGACCCCCATTCCCTCCGGGGGATGGCTAGGAGCCCAATAAATGTCCCCGCCGCCCCTTCACGAGCTTTCCTGCCATTCCCATCAACGTCGTCGTCATGGATACATCCGATACACCAACTATGGATGTCCGCCTACTTCCAGATATTTCGAAGCCGGTGAGAGACTTTCGCGAAAGCTCTTTCTTTCGCTCGGCGAGTAGTTCCTCCCCCACTCCTCAACTGCCGCCCCCAGCCATAGTCCGCAAAGAAGGCCAAGTCCAAGGTCGTAAGACGGTCAAGTTCGAGCACTTGAACCTCGTCGTCAAGTTTGGTGACCCTTCTTGGGTCAGGCTAGAAGAGGCACAAGCATTACGAGCAATTGGCCAGCTGTTCCCAGCCAAGGAGGTCCCCGTGCCCGAGTTGTTTGGATGGAGAGTCGACGAAGGCCAAAACTTCATCTACATGAGCCTGATCCACGGCCCGACACTTGGGGAAGGGTGGTCATTACTTAACCAAGAGGAAAAGAAGTCGATATGTGGTCAGCTGAGCGAGATTGTGGCCTCCCTCAGACGAATCCAGCAGCCGTCAACCCGCCCATTCATCGGCACGTCATTCTTAGGCAGCTATCTTTCGGACGGCCGCTGACTTCCTACTAGGCTCCATCAACGGCGGGCCTGTTCAGGACATATACTTCCGCGGCGGCCATGAGGCAGGGCCATTCCATAGTGTCCCGTCGTTCAACGACTGGGTTCAGCTGGCTGCGCTTCCAGGGTTGCCCATTTCCGAGAGACCGGCCGATCCTTACCGACTCTTCCTCCCCGACAGCTGCGCCGTCTATTTTAGTCACGGCGACCTCCATCTCCAAAACATCATCGTCTCCGATACTCCAGGCTGTCGCAGGATCATTGGGATTGTAGACTGGGAGCAGGCGGGTTGGTATCCAGAGTACTGGGAGTACTGCAAAATGACCATTGCCGGACCCTATAATCACGAATGGCATGAGGACCAATGGGCTGACTCGATCGTGACGCCCTGCAAGGAAGAATGGACAGCCTTTTCGGAGTACTGGATGTGGCGACGCCCATGATGCTCATCCGGCCACAGACCTGCAACTGGAGTAAATACATTGGGTTTGGGTGCTCTTTAAAATCAGATCTGACAACAATTTATTCGATTAGAAATACGGTATTCAAGCTAAAAGACTCTCAACAACATCCGGTACCCCAAACTTACAGTCCTCATCGCACCCCGTCAAGGATCCGCTTGGAAACCCGATTATCTGACCGGGCGAAGCCCGACTCCATGTGTGGGCGGATCTCTCTCAGCTTGCGCAATGGCGATGGCATCATGATTGATATAGTTTCGGCCTGCCAAATGGCGGATGAAGTCCATGGTCCACTCTTGACATCGTCTATTCGTGGTCTGAGTTTGTTAGTAACCAAAGCCGTGCCTGACCTGCTTCGCTATACTCACATCATTGACAGGGGCCATAAAGTTCTCGCTCCGCCGCGGTGCAGGGATTCGTAGAGCTTCAGCGTCCAGCCTTCCGATAGGAGTATCGTCCTTGGAGTAGGCCTCGGTTAGAGGGTCAACTACATAGTCCGAGTTGACCCAACCGATCTGGACTAAGCTTTCTAGATCCTGCGATGGGCCGCAGTCCGTTCCTCTTGAATTCATGCTGATATCCGGCCATAGGTGCGCCAACGACATGGATCAGCGTTCCCTTGCATGGGACGGACCGGACATTCGGGTTTTTGGTGGCATCTGCGGCGTTAGGAACGAAGACGGCGAAATGAGCGCGCTGAGACCTGGAGCCGCGGAATTTGGCGAGCCAGACGGGACGTTGCGCCATGGTAAGGGGTGATATAGGTTATGGTCGTGGCGAAGTTTTGAGAAGGTCGGGATGATGATAGATCGGGGGAAGTTAGCAGAAACAGTGGTCTATGTTTAAGTGTCCTTGGGGTATCTGATCGTGGGCTGTATTATATACCCTTCGAGAATGAGCTGTAGAGAAACAGTACCCAAAGGTGCCCTTCTGTCGTCCGGTGCAGGCTGGCCAAAAGACTGCGTAGGCGCTCGCGGCCTGGAACTGGAATGGCTGTCGCCTTCGTGACATCCGTTTCAGCAGAATCATCGCCAAGAGTATCTGGGATCGGCGGATTGGCTAGAATATATGCTCACGGCATGCAATCACTAAAGTTCTGGTGGTAATATCACCTGTATAGCGCCAGGGCCTGGGGGAAAGCTTGCCGCTGTCCCAGATCACGGCCTAAGCTGCACTGGGTGTACAGGAACGCTCATGGCCAATCGACTCATTCAGGCGGACCAACAACATATGGGCAAGGGTCCAGGTTCGCGGACCAACGCCGGTATTTCTTTTCTTGTCGTATGCACTAACAGAGACTTGAATTGGCGAGGGCAGTCTTCTACTGCAGCCTCTGGACAAAGGCGGATTCGCAGCTATAGCGCCGTCGCCTTAATAGCCCCCGCAGTGATCAGCTATCTGCCCGCGCGGTTAAATGGCCTTTGTTCCTGGACAGACTCATCAGATGTGACTCAGTTGACGGCTGTTCGACACCATATAATACTTCAAATGAAGTCGCGTCCGCGAAATTGTGCTTCTTTAGGGATTTATAGACACCGCATGTGACGGATATGCGTATCCTCATCCGAGGGCGACATCAGGTCAGTTATTTTTACGACCAACTATTTATGCCGAGACTGCCCAGCGCACGTCGTTTTCTCGCACAGCATTTGCTGATATGCGTCTCGGCGCCGTCTACAGGCTGGGCTGGTCCCATGGCTAAAGCCAACTAATAGGCCATCTCGCCAGACGCCGCCTCAGTTAGTGTTCTTGCCCTGTTCTCTGATTATTCGTCTGGTTCCTCCAGCAGATGTTGGCCATTTGCTGGCCCATAATGGTCTGTCAGCGGCAGCTCATGCAATCCATGCAACAATGGCTGTGATCCATGAAAGCAGAAGTGTTGAAGCAAGAAAGGTCCAGAGGATGACGGGCGCAGCTGGCCGTGTAGGCGGCTGTTAGGGGCGTACAAATTATACGGAGTGATACAGTGACCTTATTCAATTCGCTAACCTCCTACCAGATTAGGGCCTTTACGCACTTGCCAAGCTGTGTACAACGAGCCCGACAAATTACACCGCTCTAAGCTGAGTGACTGGAGTCGAACTGATGCTTCTTGGCCGCCTTCGCGGCCAGCTGTAGCCGTTCTCCTCGCGGCGCGTACAAGGCCACGCTGCCGCCTAGCCCCACACCACATCACCATGCTCCCAACCCATCATCTCCTACACCTCCCGCCATACCCGATAACGGCATCCGCCTGCTCGCCCTCGACGGCGGCGGCGTCCGCGGCCTCTCCTCCCTCATGATCCTGCGCAGCCTCATGACCGCCGTCGACCCCGACAACTTCCCCAAGCCCTGAGACTACTTCGACATGATCGGCGGCACCAGCGCCGGCGGCCTCATGGCCGTCATGCTCGGTCGCCTGTGCGACGAGCATACAAACAGGTAACACCAACTGCTTGACGAGTTACCGCTCCTCTAGGTCCACCCACCTGCTCGACTGCACTAAGATCTGGGAGGCCTGCCGCGCCACCTCCGCTGCAGCCACGTTCTACGATCCTATCGCTATCGGCCCCTTCGACGAGTAATTTCGATGGCGCCCTCGGTAAGAACAACCCCGTTTTCGCCCTCTGGAACCAGGCGCTAGACGTGTGGGGCGATCGGCTGCGGGGCAGCCTGTGGTGCCTGCCTGGTGTCGATCGCACGGGAGTGCCCGTGTTAGCACCTGTTAAGGACGACGCGCTAGGGATCTAGTCGACGGTGGAAAAAACTTGGGACGGAAATCGAGAAGACGGAGGAGCAGTTCCGCCGCGACAAGGTCGACCTCGACAACGACGACCGCTACTTCCGCTTCAACGTCGCCCGGGCTCGAGAACATTGGCTTGAAGGAGTCGAAGAAGAAGGCAGAGATTGCGGCGGCGACCAGGGATTATGTCCAGTCGCAGGAGGTGTTGAAGCACATGACGGCCCTTGCCAACGGTCTCGTAAGGATGCAAGTGTTAGTAGCGCCCAGCGTAGCCGCCAATGCATTGCCATGGCCTCGAGCTTACCCATTTTGTCGTAGATCTGGGCCCTGATAAGACGCTCTTTAGCCTGGCAGGCGTGCCCGTTTCGGCCAAGTTTGTCAATAGTCAATAAGCATAGATCTAATGTACCAGTCAGCGTCGTCAATAGCAGGGTGGGATACGTTATGCGTACGTCTGATCGATCTGGAGACCGACCAAGATGGTCTTTTCATAGCGTTCGAGGCTGGCGAGAGCTTGATTGACCGGATCTCTCTCTCGGGAGTACTTCAACCAGGCGATGACCCTGTAACTGTCAGGCTGTCTAGCGTCAGCAAAGTACCTCCACGATTCAAGCACGTCTAGGAGAGCGGATCCGCTATCAGATAAGCGGCGCAGCGCTGTCCGATCTAATAGGTTATGAAGGACATTGAGAATGAAAGCTCACAATACTACATGTTCTCGGCCGCAACCAGCGAGACTAACAGTGCTCGTGATGAAGAATCCAGCCAGGGGCTCAGATTCGGCCCTGGAAGTACCCTGCACAACAGGGCTGCTTCAGGATCCTGCAACACGGCAAACAGTGGAGACCAGGCAGGACCGGACCTACACCACTGTATAATAGCAAACAAGCCCGCTAGCCGACGTTAGATTTAGGTAAAATAGTGGGTTTCCTGAGCTTTGAAGGCCTGCATTGATCAGAGTCAGTCCATGTGTCACTATCTCCTACTACTTCTAGTCAATAAAGCCAGTATGTCCGCCCTTCCCACCACGAAGCAGGTCCATCATGTCCTCGTAACTCACGCTCAGTACATTGCCGTTAATAGCATCTGCCCCTTCAAAGTATTCCGTTTCGGGGTTCTATCGCACGGTCACTGGAATTCCGTCCCCATTCTGCCGCAACTCGATAGACAGGAGATCGCCAGAGTAGGCCAGCAAAACCTCTGCTGCAACCTCTTCCCGTTTGCCACGTCCCAACTCCCTGATCCAAGAGAATCCCCCTCCCCCTCCACGCTTCCACGCATACTCCAAGCAACCCTCCTCGGTGTCCTGCAGCCAGGCTCGCGTTGCTGCGATATTGACTTTGCAGCGCTTCTTCGAGCGGGGCTCTGGAGCCCTACGCTTCCTTTTACGTTGATGGATGGTCGTGCGCGATGCAATACCGAGCTTCGCTTCGATTCGTTTAATGGTCTCGCGAAGCAAAGCGACTTCGTCAAGCAACCTTCCAATGTCTGGTGTGGTGGCTACAACGTCGGCACCATAGCCCCTCTCGGGGGGATCGTCGGGCTCTTGGTTGTTATCCAAGTCAGAAGCCCTCTCGGGGGTGGCAGAGGGAGTGAAGGCTGCGTGGCGGTCCTCAGTCTTAGCCCGGTGGCTGCTGCGTCCGTCTTCGGCATCGCAATGGTTCGCAACACCAGCGTAATCGTCGGGAGTAGTATCGCGAAGGGGCTTGGCGTTATCGTGGACGTCATCATCAGAGTGAAATCCCGTGCCCTCCTCGGGATCAGAATCGAAGTCGGAATCGTCGGTGATGACTATGACTTCGTGCTCAAGGGCCGAGGGGATGATAGTGCCCATTGGCCGCAGGATCGCCATTTTCGGAAGTTGAAGAGAGGAGGGAAAAGGGAGTCCAGCAAGAAGAGGCGTGGCACAAAGGGAGGAAGAGGTATGATCAGGAGGAGGTTCTGGCAGACGGGAGGGACGGGGGGACGCCCTTTATATACCCGGCTCTCTCGCCATCGCTCGTGATAGCGGCACCACCATCAGCTCCTGGCGAATAGGAAAGGGGCACAGCTCAGGGTGAAGCCATGGAGCGTTCCTTGAGCCGGAAAACCGAACCTACCCGGAGGCCATGACCCCTCATGATAGACGTTGTGGTGGTGTCAGGCCTCCTCCTCCGCCCGCCTGTGCTGGGGTCGCGGGCTCGGCTCAGTCCAGTGGGCATCAGGCTGCTCCCGTGTGCACTCCGTCGGCGCGGCTTGGCAAGTGGATGAGGTATCGAGAGACTTGTGCAACGGCCCATTCTCTCTCTCTCGTGAAGTCGTCCTTGCTTTGACGTGGTTTCCCACGTTTCCGTTTCTTTGTCTGCCCATTAGGGGCTACCCTCTCGAGTACCGGGCGACGGCAAGACTCCGCACGCTCGAAATCCACGGCCATCACATTGCCGCTCACAGGGTCCCACAGCATATTGCGAGGATCTGCATCACGGTGCAATACGCCCAACTTATGCATCTGCTCGAGGATCATGTCAACCTTCTCGGCCACGCCAGGCATTTGGGCTTGGTCACCGTCGAACAACGGCTGTCCAGCCCAGGAAAGAAACAGTAAATGGGTGTAGACCCCGCTGTCATAGTATTGTGGCAAGTCCAGATCCACTATGCCTAGGCATACAGGGATGTGCTTTCCTTGAATGGCCTGGAGTTGGTCATAGATGTCGCTTTCGTGTTGGAGACACTTCCTGTCGAGACTCTCTACGCCCTTGGCGACGAGCGTATATCCGTGGCTCGACAGCCGTAGCTTGAACAGCGTCCCACGCGAGCCGGATAGATGGAGTGGTATGCAGTCTGCGTCACTGCCGCGGTCCGTCTCGAGTTGGTTTTTCATGAGGCGGAGAAAAGCGAGCCGGCTGATGTGTTCCAACCCGTGCTGAATAGCGTTGGGGCATTGCCTGTCTACTGGTTCCCCATACGCAAGGCCCAGGAGACACTGTTGCGTGCAGAATGGACCATCGCGGATGCTTGTTCTGCTGAGGCACATGGATTGGCTCTCTTCTTTCTGCGCCCCTGATTGGCCTCGCCGTTGTCCCCGTTTGGCTTTCTCACGACCGCCTTTCGGACCTGCCCCTGCCGACGGCGGTAGCTGCTTCACAGGGTGGGAAGGGCTAGGGGAGGGGGAAGGAGGCCCTTCATCATCGCTCTCGTCAGGAGCGGACGCGTCGGTTTCTAGACAACGGGACCGCGTCAGGATTGGCGATCGCGTAAAACCCTTCCACCGCTGAGGTTTGTAGGGAGTGGCCCGACGTTCCTTGCCTTTGCGGTCGCTCTCAGGGATCTTCTTGAGAATATCTTCGTACTCGATGGCCCACAGCTCTAGCTTCGCCGCTTCGTCATGCCACGAAGTAGGTGGTGGGGTAGCTTGGACGGCGCGGACAATGAAAGCGAAGACCTGCGCGACGGCTGTGCGGTGTAGCCTGGTCTCATCGTCATCCATGACATCCATACTCGGCACGCATACCGAATAGTAGACGATAGAGGGGTCGTTCGGGATATGCAAGAACACAAATGCCTGGCCCGTACACACGTATCCATACTGGATGCCCTTGCCGACCATGTAGGAAAAGAGCTGCGTGACCACGGCTGCGGCTAGTGCTTTCGCACTGAAGACGAAGCCTTCCCCATCCTGGTTTATCACGTCGCGATCAGGCTGGATTTCTGATTCGAGTCCCGTGGCGAGCTCGTCGACGCTCAACTTGTGTGGAGCTTTGTATTCAATGGCGAGTGCAGGAACATTTCGTCCGTCCGATGTCCTGTATATGCAGAACTGGTCTGCCCGGTTGCCTTTTCCCCTGACCCTGCGACGGCCCCTGGTGGCTGCAGAGGGTCGAGGGGCAGCCGCCGATGCCGACGTATTTGGGTTGACCCCATCCTGGCCAAGAGACATTTCTTCCAGGGACGTAGAGATGTCATCGACACCCGGGTTTGTATGGCTTTCAAACGTCACAGTCCCCTGGAGGCGAAGGTGTCTTCGCAACAGGGGGTCTTGATGTGTCCTCTCCATCAGCCTCTGAACCGCATGCTCGACAACGTCACGCTCGAAGTCTCGGAGCCCCAGCTCGCTGCTGATGGGCGTAAGGAACGACCGAACGTAGTCTAGTTGATGTGGGGATGGAAAGGCGGGCTGGGAAGAGAATGTGTTGCTAATCGCGAGCTTGTTCCAAGTGTCCTCTTGCTTCGCTGCGAAGTCGACCCAGGGAACGATTCGTCGGGGGTATATTCGGCCGGTCGGGTTGGTGGCGTCACCTTGGGTGGATAAAGAGCGGTCGGTTATAACCTGAATGGTACGGTCAAGAGAGTGACAGGCCTCAAGATATTGCTGAAGGGGCTGTGGTTGCGAGGCCGCAGCAGTCTTTTCCGCCTCTTCGCGTCGCCGTAGTTCTTGTTCGTGTCGCCGTTGTGCCTCTTCGCGTAGCCGTTGTTCCTCTTCGCGTCGCCGTTGTTCCTCTTCGCGTAGTCGTTTCTCTTCCTCTAGCAGCCGTCTTAATTCTGCGATGTCAGCCATGGTAATTGCGGTAGGCTGAACGACTGGAGCTGGTAGAGGAATGTAGCGTCGGAATAATAAGGTCAAGATCCTTAAGACGATGCAAGGCAGCCAATATGTGCCGAAAGGTTGCTACCGTCTATTGATTGGAGTTGAGACTTAATGGATTGTTGGGCCAACAATACCATGTGCGGCATGGTTTAACTGCGGGGCAAAACAATGCCCCAGATTACGGCTCCCTAGCTCCACAACTCTTTTGGCCGAAATTTTTGCGAATCATCATTGACGCTACCTCACGACATCTCGATTAAGATGCGATTCAGATATGTATGGCGCAGGCCAGAATGGCGTGTGCCTGTCATGTATTGTGCTCTGTGACTTGAACGAATTCCATGGTATACATGGTCTACCCAGGCCAAATACTGTTCATGACGGCAACTCCAAGCAAAAGCAAGGAGGACATGGTGTCTGGGTACATCAAGGACCACGGTTCTCAGGTATATTCTGGAGACCTATCTGGAGACCGGGCGGTGCACTGACTTTAGGTTCATTGCCTGGACCACGTCGATGACATCCTCGGGCGCAAGACCCTCGGCGGACCGAGCCTAAACCAAAGAACCATCCCGCCTTTACGTACCCGCTTCCCAACGACGAATACAAACACAGTCCAACCAGAACTCAGATTAAGCCATTGCTTCCTGAATCGCCGTCAGATTAATCTACTCTCTCTTCCACTTCCATTCCTTCGAAGCCCAAATGGAGTCATCAAGAGCGGCTTTGGCCCGGTCCATTGCCAACGCTTCCTCCACCCGTCCATTGATCGCAGCCGGATCCCCCCTACAAGTCTAGATATGCAGGTTCGATAAATGGAAGCAGTCTTGCTAAACGAGGGCGGTATTGCGTGATGTGTCTGCGCAGTGACTGGATATCGTCCTCCGAGTGCTCACAGCCCTCGCTAATCACAATTAGCCCGATATCTTGAGGAGGACGGGGGAACGAACATAATCTCCCTGAAAGATTTCCCGCCCACAAGAAGCCAAATGCATTGTCTAGACGCAAATAAGGCTCATCGTAACAAATGCACCTAATCGCAACGAAACACGGGCATAGCTAACCACGGCCAAATGTACGTGGACGATGCGTCAGGGGTGGTCTGTTCTTCAGGCGATGGTCTGCGAGCTACATCCATCCAAGGAGTCGAGGGCCTTTTCTAAGCACCACAATCGATGCAGGGACGCTTCGAACCACCAACGGATCCAGCAAGGGCTTGAGCGAATCGGAGGCTGGACGTGGGGCAATCATGGGGGAGGTCGTACCAGCTTATCCCATGATGGAATGATTCGGCAAGCACACTGGCATCGGAAGGACGCGCCATCCGGCAAAGTCACACACCAACGAAAACGAGCCCTGGAGTCTGAACCTGCTGTCCGTGCTCCGTTTTCATCTGCTCCGACGTGAGAACGGGGGCTTGAGAGGGGTTGCTCGGGCCATGGTGCTTCACCACGAAAGATTGGTTGTCCCTCTGTGGCACCAACTTCGATGCCATTCTCGAGGCCTAATCCGGTCCCCACCATATTCAATATGATCGATCCCCAGCGGCTTGTAAACAAATGTGCCCCTCCAGTCTCTCACAAGCCCCTGTAGAGACTGTACCTTACGTTCCAATCGTTCCTACCAACACGGAGTGCTTGGAACACCTGCAACACACGGAAGGGAGGGAACGAGAATAAGATAAGGTAGGGGAAATGAATGACTGCATGTCTGTGTCTGGGAGTATCCTTTAGGCGTGGAAGTCGGCGCGCCTCACCAAACCCAAGCTACACATAAGCCGCCCCTCATATGCGAATTTTGCCGTTACGCAACATGGAACTCCCAGGCGACACAGAATTGAGTACATAGGGGCGCAGAAATGAGGGGCAGTGAAATGAGGGGCAGTGAAATAACGGGCACTGAAATGAGGGGCACTGAAATAACGGGCACTGAAATAACGAACAATGAAATGACGAGCACTGAAATGAGGGGCACTGAAATGACGAGCACTGAAATGAGGGGCACTGAAATAACGGGCACTGAAATAACGGGCACTGAAATAACGAACAATGAAATGACGAGCACTGAAATGAGGGGCACTGAAATAACGGGCACTGAAATAACGGGCACTGAAACAGCGGACAGCGAAATAAAGGACAGTGAAATGAGGGGCAGTGAAATAGCGGACAGTGAAATAACGGGCGCAGAGATAAGGGGGCAGAACTGTTATCAGGCGGCAGACACAAATCTTGGGCGACATGACAAGTCCCCATGCAACAGACCCACGAAACAGTTTCCCCTTTTTGATCACTCTCCCGGCCTCTCCCTCAACTCCCTACGACCTCCAGATATCTTCCCCGACAATCCCACTCATGTTTTGCACAGCTGTCACTAATGCCAATAAGTGTGCGATGTACGGAATCGGCGCGAGGCACATGGTTCCACTCATTGCTCCTCTAAAAGCTATGGTCGATCCCATAATGACTTCCTAAGACAAATCAGTCAAAGCACCAGAAGCCGCCGTGCCAAACTTTGTTGTTTTCTCGGGGGGAGGCAGCACCCGACACGACTAATAGCAGCCCAAGTTTATACCAGTCATACCAGATACTCAAACCTGAAATGCAAAGCAGAGCATCTTCCAGGTTCTCTAGATATTTCGGACTGCTTTCGTAGAGTTATAAACATATCAGCTGAGGCTTGCTGTTAGAGTCTGGTTTAGTTTCCCCCCAGGAGCACGCGCACTATGTGTATGGACGGAATCTTATTTATTGCGCAGAGACGCCATAACTCGGGTGGCGAGCGCAGGTTGTATTGGGAGAAAGATGACTCAAATTAATCACATAACAGACACAGCCATTTTGAATTTTGGTTCAAGGAGCAAATCGTTCTGGCTTGCTTAGTAACAGCATTCTGAAAGAATTGGATTTCACTTCTAACTGGATTTGGTGCTTTAGCTCCAGGTAGCGTGATAATAGTATGCCAGTCTTGATGCTGGGTATTGTGTTCGGAATTAGTAAAGTCCGAGGTTTGGGATATTTTTTTGGGTATTACCACCTGACCTTCGAAGCACCTTAGTGACATATTAACAGAATGCCCTGAAGGTTCATCGTACTTCGTTCTTTGTCCTCTTCCGACCGCCAAAGGATGCACGACATATTACAGTCAACTGGACCTCCTCAGCCTAAGGTGCGTTGATGCCTAACATCTATCTCCGCTTTGTCCCAGGCAGCGATTGACGTTATACCGCAGCCCCATTGTGCGCATATTTTGCGCATTCTCCCTATCACGAACCGGAGTTACGATTGCCTAACAAGTATAATACGGTGACCGCTCGCATTATTCTTCTACGAGCTATCCACACCATTCCATTCCCGACTCGCCGTCTTAACTTTGGTCAAGTTAGCTAGCTGGCTGGCACGCTGTTGCTTGTGAGATATGCGCCAAATCGAAGCGCCGAAGAACTCAACAGATACTCAAATTGAACGTCTTTGCAAGGAAAATGTCAATATATAATCCTTGTTGCTTCTTCACATTATGCTGACTGCTCGATAGGTTCTTTGTCAAGACTGTCATATCAGCGGAGTCGAATTTCCAACAACTGAGCCACTAACACGGATATACCCCGTAGATAACGTCGTTGCTATAGTCGTGGATATCGCAGAGGGTGGTGGAAAGTTCAAGATCTACAATTTGGACGATAAGTTCGTTGGGAATGTTGGTTATGAGGCTGAATCGGAACATATGATGATAGTGCAGTGGCAGAAAGGATAGTGGTTTTATTCCATCGGAAATATTAGGATCCGACGAGTTACAGGAGCATGAATTTTTACTATCGATCATGACCCTCTACATTGCTTGTGGACGAACCAAAGCATATTGACTCATGGTTTCCTCTGAAATCGGGAACGTGATGAACGGCTGGCGTGTAGGATCGTAGGGATCCGTCATCCACACGATTCCATGGACGGCCGTCGACGAGACGATGGCAAGAGCATCTTGATGAGTGAGTTGGAAAACACGCCCAACAAGAGTTCCTTGGAAGTGTTAGCTCGCTATGACTGCTGTCTCTTGAACAGTGTGCACACACCGGTATGTAGCTTTGGCTTTGGAATTTATTGACTATACGAGAACGAAGGTTCCGGTGTTTGTCTCGCGGAGTTAGCTAGTTCTGTAACAAGAGTCAAATTTTGCTGGTAGGTGCTATGTTGGGAACTGACCTCTCATGAACTCTTGGAACTGAAGAGATTCTTGTAGGGGCTCGTGTTCCGTCTCGAGCTGCCGTAGCGTCGTGTCTATGACCGACGGCAGGCTAAGCCTTGGATGTTATTCGAGGTGAGCGATAAGATCTTCAAAAACGTCCTTCGCCATTGCACCGGCAGACCATGATGTCGGCGTAATAGCCGCAGCCCAGGAAATAATGCCACTAGGGTTCATATTGCGGATGCATTCAGTTCTCTTCCGCGTGGTTGCTTTCCTGGTCTTCACCTCTGCAGAATCAAAGGTAGAGTCCTTAAGACCTCCATAGATCAGAAGAATGTTTCTTCTAAAGATTGGGCCATTCAAACGTCCCTGACTAAGCCCGCAATGGCTGATCGTGCCTGGTTTCTGAACGTTTTGCAGGCCTCTTCCTTGCGTGGAGGCTTATACGTCCCTGTCTTCTCTTAGAGTCTTATCGCGACTTGTGAAAGCCTTATGCCAATGGCAGTCAACTGGCCCCAACAGTCGTCTGATCGAGAGATGTCATCTAACGCCCCGATCCAGTTTTCTGCCGTCTGGACCAATAAATTCAGCTGCGAGACGTAATTAGCCATCGTACGTTAGAGCAATGTGATGATGCGTTGGAAGAGATTGATTATGCGAAGATGCGTTATGGAAGGATGTGTTGTTGACAACAAGACTAATAAGGGCCTGAGTGCGTATTTGTTAAAGTATTGTGGGGTAACTTCAGCAATTGGTAAGATCTGTTAGAAGTATTTATGCAATTTTAAGATGGTGTCTCATAAGTGCATTTTTCAAAAGTCATACGTGCATAACTTTTCTTCGCTCCAGTTAACTGTCTCACAGTCATACTACCCCGATGCGATTCAATGTATCGTCTACGCATGTTGACTCCGACCTTGGCGCTGATGGCGTTCAATACGTGCAATCAGCATGTCTTGTCGCTTAACGGAAGGCCTGTACGGAAGCTCTGTAGAGTTGCAGGCTCTCACGAGACTCAACAGGTATCGCTTCGGGCCAAGAGTAGGCGCAAATCAGCGCAGTCAGAATGGAGTCAAGGCTAACTCCTAAGAGGACTATCCATACGCTTCTACCAATTAATAACCACATCAGAATATTCATCTCATCACTGACCAAGCGGTGTGGCGTCGATTCAGCTCCCTAATTGTGCATGAAGCCACGAAGTTGATCCATGCTCGACGGGCCGGGTGTGTCCAGGCCATCTTTCCGACGACCTCCAGAGGCCAGCCTGCCTAAGACAAGCAGTGTCTTTCTAGATAGATCGGTACGAGCTGCTGCATAAGCTTCTGACGTGTTCACGGCGCTCTAGTGGTCAATGGCATGCTCGTTCCTATACTACTGTTTCTCCCAGTTAATCCAACAAGACCAGTTCGGTTTGGTAACTGCTTCTCCTACCCGTCTGGCCCCTTACCCAGCATGAGTATAAGTATGGGGCAAGTCCGTTTCCTTCTCGAGGTTCTCATCACAATAATTATGCCTGGTCGTCTCATCTGTCAATGTTAGTGTGAATGCACTGAGTACGTTCTTGATAGCTCGGACTTTTGTCAAAAGTGCCACATCTACTGCCAGTCGTAATCTTATCTCGTTTGATCATTTTCTCTGCGTCCTATCCCTCTACATCTCGCCTTCCAGCTCGCCAGCCTCCTCACCTTTTCCACAATCACCTTCACATCGACGGTTTCATTGGGCAGTACCACGATCACCATCTAGCTGCAACAATCTGTTCACGGCCTCTACAAGTCTTATATTATCGTGTTCAATAGCAGGTTTATTACTAAATTATCTTTATGGTTCACCTCTCCCTGCTAACACCACCTTAACACAGTTCGATCTCTTGCACCCACATACTCTCATCATGTCGAACCAACACAATGCCGCCACTTCATCGGGCCGTAACGGCCCAAGGCCTTCAGAGCAACACGCTCTACCCTCAGGAGAGTGTAACGTCAATGGAGTTCATCCTAACGACAGATCTCAGGATGCTCAGAGCACGGATCCCCGAACGCCTATTGAGGCGAGTTCTAGGAATAAGAACTCAGAGACTCCTCCTAGACAAACCTGGGAGGAGACAAGAGGTCATGGCAATGGGCCTCGTGAACAGACCGGCAGTGACGCCACAAGCCCCCCAGGAGGAGCAGAGAGAGACCAGCAGCAGGCTCCAACTGGTGTTCAGACAACCACAAGCACCACCAATGGGATTGATCTGAGCGAAGCTGGCAACCTTGAAGAAGCCATTGACTTCGAGTTGGACGAGGATTAAGGCTTCTACATGAAACTACCTTCGACACCGTAGCAACGGTGCTTGCGAGCAACATAATACAGCGTCCATAAGCTGGACGCCCGTGTTGAACCGGGGGACATTCTTGGTTATTAGAGTAACGATATATTCGATATGATTATTCTTCAATAATTTTCACCAGTCCTTTCGTTGGCTCCCGGTTGGTTGAACTAGGGAGGTGAAATATGGGCCTTCGGACTTTCGTTCATCCGGGAGCCGCGATGACACATGGTCAGACAGCCAAACACATTTGGAACTAGCCCCTCAATGTGCGATTCGATGCATTGGGTCATGCGGGCAAATACTAGGTCTTGCCATGACTTAGAGCAGCATCTGAGCTTACTTTTACATATCGACTCAATCTAAAGCATGACTTCGTTGAAAGGCAGAAATGTTACCTCTCGATCGACCAGAAACGGCTCGTTCTTCATTTGATCGAATGGCGAATGTGGTCCTCGACCCATCGAGACCCTATCTTGACCTACTGCCCGAAGCTTCTCAAGATGCACGTCAAGAGAGTTTGAACTGGAATATGATGCCTGGCGGTCCAGAAGACGAAGTATATGTATGCGGAACGCGTAGCGAAGCACAAAAGAAACTGGCTTTCCAGTTTTTGAGAGATCATGTAAGTATTTACCGTTCAGATTGAAGGCGCCTCACTAACTCTACCTAAGAAAAAGGATCTTCCGCACGATCACCGGATTATCATAGGAGGACCATTCCGTGTTCAATTTGGTAGGGTGAACGTCAAAAATGGGTGGATGGTCGCTCTCCCTCTCAAAGGCGGGGGTACGGTTGAGAAAGGCCCGGTGACTCGCGAGTCACCGGGGGGCAGGTCTAATCCAATCTCATGGGAGTCATACAAACCTATCACGATACCCGAAGGCGATTCATTGATGTTGTCAACGAAGGGCGAGATACTATTTGTTATGGTACAGTTCTTAGAGCGTTGATTTATGTCTCATAGGTCAGAATCCTCGTCCGGATAATCTAGAAAATCATCGAACACGACTTCCTCCAAATTGGCAGCTCCATCCAGGTGGGTTCCTGGGTTCTCTGGCCCGATATGTGCCCAGCCATTGTGGCCGTCTATGAAATGCTCTCCTCCCCGGAAGAATTCTGCACCGGAGGATCCAGACTGCCCATTGCGTAACTGAAGAAGAGCACCTATCGCATCGACTGGCCAGCTTCCAGGGCTTTGTGAAGATTGCCCAAGTATTCGATCCATGCCATGTCTCACGCTCTCTCGCATATTTACGCTCCCATACTGGACGCCTTCGTTCTGATCTGGCAGAGAGCTCATGGCCCCAATGCCATTTGAGTGACTGACCAACTGTTCGTAAGCATGCTGTGGAGGAGCATCCTCAAGCACTCTCGGATCCAAGACGCCCGTAATTTCTGATGGAATGAAAATGGAGGTAGCTGTAGTCGAAGAGCTTTCGGGTTGGAAAATAGGTTGTGATTGTGGAGAGACCCTTGATGAACGATCCATTGATGAGCTGTCATCTTGTTCGAAGTGTGAGTGCACGCCAGCTCCAGGCTGGACCCTGACAGTCACTGGTGGGTGGCCAGAGTAGTTTGAGACTTGAGAGTCGAGCATCGAGGTATCATCATCTGTATCTAGTGTAGCTCTCGTTTCTATTACGGGACTAGACGGTGAGGGAGGCCTAGATGCACCGCCATGCTCTCTTGTTTGCGTAGGCATCGGATCCCCTCCATCTGGTTAGTGAGGTCTGCAACCGAAACTTGTAAGCCAGACTTACCCTCTCGCGAACAGAGCCGCGACTTAATCAATGTTTCTGTCTCTTGAAAGACCAGAGCTCTTCGTTCGTACTCTGCTGGGCTGAGGTCCGTTCCCAGGGCTTCGTTGACTTGACCTAGACTGGTCAAAACGTTCAGCATCCAACAGTCGAGTCCAGAATAAATAAAGCTTACCTCCATAGGCCAAGATGAGCGATCATGAATGTCGGAGAAAAGACAGACGCATACTTCCGGGTACATCTGTTATCTTTCCCCTCACTTTATTAATAAGTTCATCCTTCGTCTCGGCCCGTTCTGACCAAATTCGATAAGTTTCCAACGGTGGTCCACCTGTTCATAATAAGTAAATAGTTGGCGGTTAAGTTATGTGGACTTACAGAGCACAAATAGTTGAGAGCTTGGATGCCCTGTCGATGATTCTGTCTCTTCAATCACGCAGGCCGCCCACTTGGCAGCTCGGCGGAGCCTCCTTGAGTAAATGCCGCTTTGCTCTCGGCCGGGCAGGCATTCCTTGACTGCCTGGTCCACATCCTCAACGCTCGCCCCATACTCCCTAGCGACGCAACAGATGCAGTAGAAGAGGATGAGACTGTAATTATACAGCTGGGTCGATTTGGTAGCATGTTTTTGGAGTTCGAGCTGAAGATCTCGGTACGCTGTGACCGTCGCAATAGGCGTCGTCGCAGATCCGGCGTACGGTACAGAGGGATGGGCGAATCGTGGACGAAGGGTGAGATGTTGGAAAGTATCAAGTATTTGTTCTACTGTGTATAGTTGAGTCTTCTGCCGTGTCATGGTCCATTCTCTTTCGCATTTTGGGACTCGGGCTAGGAAATCAGCTAATGCCTCTTCTTGTTTTGCCTTCGTGTCTAGCGTCCTTGACTTCTTGACTGTATTTTTCTGGATCTCGGGGGTTTCAAATTGGAATACTAGGTCTGGACCACCGAGAGAGGTGGATGGTGTTGGTGAGTTCCTGGAAGATAAGGACTGCGCGCGCACTTCCAGATGGAGTTGTTACTCGGGGTTGTACGGTCCCAATATCTTTTAACCCTATTCATTTGTCAGGATATGTGTAGATCTATGTGTCGTGAAATGGTACCCTTAAAATACATAAACCCCGTCGTGGGAGTGCAGCCGAACTCCTGCAGATGCATCTCGTTGCCTCGTCTGCCTTCTTTCCTCTCTACGTTAAATTTCACTGCAAGCCTTGCCTTACCACCTCCGCCTTACATCTGACCCTTCTCGGTACAGCTGCTGGAATGGCTCCCTTGATTAAGGTACCCCAAGTTATCGACACTTGCGTCGCTTTTGGAACCGTGTCGATTTTCGAGGGTTTCTACTGCTGGTACTTATATGCCCATAAGATACCGTGCCAGACGCTTGTCAGGGTCGCTTGTGCCTTGAATATTCCTGGATCCGTGTTCCTAGCCCTGTTCCTCATCTTTTGGCAACATGGCCCTGCTGTACCTGCATATGCCATGATGGTCTTGTGCACAAGCACATCTGTCGCATCAATCTGGTGTTTTGAGGTACTGCAGCCCTTTCCATGCCGTCCTTCCACCAACAAATCACTAACATATCCACAGGTTCTCGAAGTCTTGCGACCTATTAGCAAGATCTGGCTTGATGACTTCAACGTTCCCCTCTTCAACACGGGCTTGCGAGAGTCCGTATTTTGGGCGTTGTGTTGTTGCTATGCTGCCCTGGGACTTTGGCAATTAGCAGCCTACCAAGTCGAGATCTTGTGGGCCTTTCCACTCTTAACCCACATCACCGTTGTCGCCGCAGTGGCCCGAGGTCTCATCCTTTTCCTCCAGAATCGCAATAAGAAGCAGGCTAAGCTGCTTTAGCCTCGGCAGGTCGCAATTGTTTTTGCATCAATCATCTCGACCGTCTTGCTTGTTGGTTCGGCATTGGGATGGATATCGGTACAAGGGGCTGCGCAATGCGCAACCTGCATAACAATCGTCTCACTCCGCCTCTACAGAACTAATCAGGGTTACAACGCAAAAGGGCAAGAGCTTGTACGTGACGATACTCTATCTTTGTGTTCAAGCCGCTGACATTTAGCAGGATCAACTGCCAAATGTGCCCAGAGAAGCACCCTTCGTGCTGAGCAAGGATCTTGAACATGGCGGTGGACACCAGGAGGGTTCAACGACGTCCTTGCGATCTCTACGTGCTGACTCGGGTATTGGCCTACTGCCCACGGCACCCGTTACACCCTCGGGGTCCAGTGTCTCATCGTCGACCACAGCTCCTTCCGAAGTATACCAATCGTATGAGATGGAGGGGATGCAATTCCTGCATTACGAACTCAACGTGTAAGCCCAAACCATTCTATGCATATGATCAGAAGGCTGAAGCGCGCGTAGGTCTCGCATCGATGATAGTATGAAAAAGCACTCGAAGATAATGTGAGTTTCGGTGACCACTGGTTTTGGAATGGAGACTAACGTCACGATGAGACATGACTTCTATACTCATGTTAATGGAGGTAAACTAGTACCAGACTTTGTCGGCGATGCTAGGAACATCATGGATATCGGTACGGGGACGGGTGACTGGGCTATGTATGTGCACGTATGCTCCCGAGGATGACATTACTGACTCTGGTTAGGGATGTGGCATATGCCAAACAGGAAGCCGTGGTCATCGGCACCGATCTGGCTCCAATTCAACCCTCCAATATACCAGTCAACTTGGGCTTCTCCATCGGCAATGCCAACACTCCTGACTGGGGCCTGGATGACCGATTCGATTTCATCCATATACGAGGTATGGATGGTGGCATCAAAGACTGGCATGTGTCTCTTAAAGCCGCGTTTCGATGCCAGCGTTTGGGAGGCTTCATTGAGATATCTGACATAACCGTCCATCCGTCTGGGCCAGCAACTCCTGACGCTATGTGGCTGGAGTGGATGCGGATGCTCGACGTTCTGAGAGATGCCACTGGCCTTTCGTTTGGGATTCATAAGGAGGGTCGTGCTCTCAGGGAGCTGCAGCTTGTGGGTTACGAACCTATGGGCTCAAGTTGCCGGGAGTACCACATTAAGTCGGGAACGCATGTCTTCGATGGCAGTTGCCTCCTTCAAGGTGTTATTGAACATATGAAGGGGATATTCACACAAGCTTTTAGGTTCGTGCCTCACTCCACCCCCCTGCACAATCTGCTGGGGAAGTTAGAAGAGGAACTACTTCAGGGGGTCAACATCGAAGTGTGAGTGTCTTTTAAGTCCTGTGACAGGCTATCATAGGACTGACCAGCTGCTAGTCACAAATCTCTTGCGAAAAGAGCAACAAGCGTAGCACATTGAGTAAAACTTTAGCTGAAGAGAGACGAGAGGAAAGTGAGGTTCTCCTTTCATTCAGAGCTTTGGCAGCTCTCATATGTCAGTACCCTTGCCTCCAGAATGTAAGTCGGGGCAAGGGTGGTTCGGTACCAACACGGGCAGCACCGGCGGGGTTTATGGTGTTTTTACTCTACATTCATTAAGTATTGTTTTGTAAACTAGATTCATTTGTAATATCATCCTTCCTTTCTGATACACTCGGCCCAGTAGATGGCACAAGTACCCGACGAATGCCTTCCGAACCCGCGGGGACGGCAACAGCGACCCCCGTTATCAGGGCACCGGCGCTCTCGTCAATAAGCCAGAGGCAATCGACGATCTAGATGATAGAAGCTGGTTTGGGGGGTCTTCTCGGCCAAGGGGAGTCAGGGGCTGAGTCACGTGGTGTCATTTGAGTTGCGCCTGAAGCGAAAGACCCCCCGGGTCGGGACGAATCGGGCGAGGAAGGGGGTTCTCCTATCGGACCCCATCTTTGTGACCCCCTAGGCCCTGGCGGTTCGCGTATTAGTGAGATTGTAAGCTTAGGCTACGAAAAGCTGTATCGGTTACACACACGTGTCGGTAAGGGGCGGAAGAGGGGGACGAGAGTGATACAATCTTAAACTTCCGTTATTAAGCTCGAGGGTGCTTGCGTCCCGAACAGGATCACTCGATAGCTATAGTCACGGGTGCTGAAAAGCTCCGGGTTGGTGCTGGTGCTGCCTGGGCTGCTGGCAGCTAAACCTCAGAGCGCGTCCACCCTAAGGCTCGGGCCCTAGGGGCCTTTGTCTAGGAATAAGACCCGTGTATGGCGAATATGTAGAATTAGTCGACTCATACTGGTACCTTTAGTGTTAGAGACTGGGCCAGGGTACCCCCCTTGAGCGCAGCCTTTTAAGAGGCAGAGTAGAGTATATTTTGGAGCTGGCAGCCTCGCACACGCCGCCTGGCGGTCTCCCCTGGTAGTAGTATGTGGATTCTGAATTGCTCTAGCAGGCGTGCTTGAGGAGCAGAACGGCACTACACCACACTAATGCACTCCCAAGGGATCGTATGTCATTCCCTATGCATTCGCTATGCCGTCGTCGTCACGGAGAGGCGCTGATTCACGATGCTCGGAGCATCCTTCACCTTAAAGTTGTTTAAATGCCTAGCCGCGGCGGTTTTAAGATTATTAAGGTGCAAAGTGTGGCCTAAAGGGAACGCCCTCCCGTACATAATCGCTATGGAAGCTACTAGTCTTCCCCTAAAATTCCCCTGATTAGGTGCAAAGAAGCGTTGGGGAAACTCCGACGTCTCCTGTAATACATGCCCGCGCAGAAAGACATCTCACCTGCATCATGAGGACCACGCGTCAGCTCCCTTGCGTCAGGAGCTCCGTGTCCCGTGCGGTCTTATCATGCAATGCCTTCCTCAACCTAATTCAAGGAGGTCTAATGCAGGGAGGATCTCCAGAACAAATAGACCTTCTCTAGAGGCTAGAGGCCTCTTAATGCATCACAGCCATAGAGCCACAATATACCTGCATCTTGCTTTGAGTAAGGACACCACTGTTACTCTAAGCCGTGAGCATAAGCAGAGCAGTGACTAGAAGGTTCTAGTATAGCACCGGGTAGTTAGCATTAGAATAGATCGTAAGGGCGGGGTCGATCGGAATGTAGGGTCCTATAGCCTCAGTGCCGGCTTAAGGGTCCATCAGGGCGCCGTGGCAACTCAGGGATTCGACAAAGAGTGCGGGTTGTTCGTTTTCCTAAGGCAGCTGGCACATTATGCCGGGCCCACTGCGAGGAATAATAGGACTCGAGACTCCTATCGGAGCCGTTTAAGAGGTCGTGGCAGCGCCCATAGCATAGTCTTAAGGCATATGGTTTGACGACAGCATGCCAAAGGGGTTATCCTCATTCCCAAGCCGTTTTAGGGGAATAGGTCCGTTACTATGCCATCTAACACAAATGTTAAGTGAAAAGTAGGAGGTAGATCTTCCAGGTGGAATAACTAACTGACTATCCAACGGTACTTTCCTCTTTTTGCATGGTTGGAACGGCGGCGGCGGCAAACGGGGGTACACTTGCAAGGGCAATTATAGCCAGGGGATTTGTCTAGTATCGTCACCTCAGTTGTCAGCTGGAGAAGAAATAAGTTGGCGCAAGAAGTGAACACGCACGCTTCAACAAGTGACGGTCCAGGTCCCTATGGCGTACATACGCCATCTTGCAATTCCCATGGGGGCACATGAGCTTGCCGTTAGCATCCCTTTGAGTAGACGCTAGGCTCTCGTGCACTTGAGGCAAGATATATGGATTTCGCTCCGACTCGATTGAGTGCGTAGGCTGTTCGTCCCCTCGATCGGATCTACCAAACGATAGTTCGTGGTCCTGAAGGATACCGTTAGGAACGGTGAGGCTTAGGTCAAAGGGTACCGAAATTGCTTTAGGTATCGTGTCAGAGTCAGCAGGGGATGTGGGTGCGGTTGCTTAGTGCGGCGCTTCTCGGTCGCCAGAAGTTGGCGTTGATATGGATCGATCTGACTGCTGGCTCTCATTTGGCGTCCTATTTGATGGTCAGCGTTGTGAATGGAATTTTTCCATCAAAGTAACATACTCCGGGTGCATCATTGGACCTTGGTTAACCACGATGGTGTCTAAGATTAACTCAGGCTGGGCTATATCCTGATGGCCCCTGATGGCTTCTTCGGCACGATCCAAGAATAGTTCAGCACGTAGCCTGTAGTTACCCGGAGATGCATTTGTCGCCATGTTTAGGACCGGGTAGAATTATTCCAGTGAGCTTCGAAGAAAACTGATCTCGAGTTCTCCGCGTAATTTTGGGCAGTAAAAGTATACGAGAAGCTGGATGATCCTGTGATGAAACCTATGGTCTGTTAGTGGAAGGAATTCGGGAGGTGAAATTCGACTTACCAGGTCAGCCGACCATACATGGTGCCGACGACGGATGGGCGGAAGCCCTCGCCTACAACACGTGGAAGAGACAATCTTTCGTTTTTGACCGACGATAAGAGGGTATCTCTGGACCGCCGTAGGTCAAATTCGGCCCTGTCGATAGCCAACTGTATGCAAGGATCAAATGCATCTTCATCGTCTTTGTGGGGCGTGAGCATTTTTTCGATGTCGTCTAAAGTTATGATGCTTGGTAGAGGAGAGGAGTCATCTAGTAGGCGGCTAACGACTCTAATAAGATATTAGCATAACCCTAAGGAGCACTCTTAATACCACAACGAACCGTTCACACTTCGTGATAGTAGAGGAGCTATCACTCCTAGCCAAACCCTCCAGGTTATGTTGGAGAAGTTTCAGGCCCTCTCGGTCGGGGTGGTGCCCAAGGAAACCGTCCCGTATGTGACCGAGTATGGCTGTCTGAATATGTTCCAATGCTGGAGCATCGCTTCGCACACTCATAACCGGTAGGATAGGGAAGTTCGGTTGCTGATGCTTTGTGGGTTCCATGATCCAACGATATCTGTCAACTTGCTGCTGGTAGCTCAGCGAAAGAGCTTCTCCAACGGAAAGAACATGGCAAGCCATGCCTTCTGAAAGACCGTGCCGAATCAGCCATGGCAAAGCGTCTTCTTGACTGTTGCGAAGCAAGGGCAAGTTCAGAAAAGGATATTCCGAATGGACATGTGTCAAGAAGTATAGTAGATGAAGTGTGCAGACCGGCCGGCTGTCCGGAGCTTGGAATCGAGATTGCTTAATGTAAATCGGATTTTCGGCCACTGAATCCATGATAGGCAGTAGGCAGATAGCTCAGCGTGGAGATGAAAGAACGTCTTACTGGATACGGTGGATCAAAACGAGGGACTGAAGTTAGACTTTGGTGGAAGAAGTGCCCTCGTATTTCACAAGGTTGGCATACTACTTGTTTTGATACACCGGGAGCTTCTATGCTATCTTAGGTGCGTAGCGAATATGACGAGGCATCCCGTCCTAGTGAAGGCGTTTGTGACGAGAATAGGGGGTTCAAGGGGGTGCACTAGCTCGATAGTCCGGCTAGTGCTCTCTAGCCCGGGGCCGCCGGGAGAGGTCTCGCGATCCTTACCTTCTCAGAGACATATATCACTCCTAATAAGGGAAACACTTATAAAATAGGTAGCACTAACCTCTATTAGCGCCTTAAACAAGCTCTATTAAGAGACGGGAGCTATATACGCTCAGCACCTATCTAGCTCTATACCTATATCTTCTACGTTGCCTGCCTTTTATAACGGCCCTTCCCCTTACCCTAGAGTATTTTATCACGATAACCGGGGCTACTATCGTCGTGCAGGGATAAGTATCTCGAGCACCCCTATCTCCTCTAGCTCTAGAAACTAGCTAAGGCGGACCTCCCCCCTCTACTTCTCTATCTCGCGCCGCACCTTAGTGTCCGGTGCTAATAGTACCGCCTCTCACCTACTATCCCCCTATAGGCTCGCTTCTCTCGCTTCTACGTACCTTATAGGTATTTCTACCTCTCCCCTGCACTTATAACGCCCCTTTATTAACCGGGTCGAGGTCTACCCACCACCCACTTCTTAATATATATTATATCTAATTTAGTATCACGTTATTATACCACCTAGCTTAGTACCGGTGCGTTTATAGCGTATTAGCCTGCTTCGGACTTAAACTTTTAGAGGCGATAGCAAGGGTAAGGTGCACTTCCCTGGATCTGCCGTAGTGTATTTACCCCTAAGGGCGTATATCTGCCGTGTCCTAGCCCCGGTTCCCGTCCTATATATATAAGTATACGCCTTATCTATCCCTATTAGCCTCTCTCTATCCTAATATTACTACTCTAGGAGCCTTAAGTCCTTTTTCGACTCTTAAAGAAAGATCCTGCCGGGTCCTATCTACTATCCTAGCGAAGCTTAATTCTCGTTTTCTACTTTTCCCTATCCTATATAACCTATTATCCGTCGATTTAGCGATTATAAAAAGCAGCCTTATAGAGTCGTCTTACTCTTTACGGTTTTTAATAAGGTTTTTTTATAACCTTCCTCTTACTACTAACGCTAATCCTAATCGTTACCTCCTAACGGCTTTAGTGAGTGGAGAGTATTACTCGCCTTACCTTACCTATCCCTAGTTAGTCATCTTACCTCTCCCTACCCTTCGGAGTATATATTTATTAAAACACTTAACTAATTTCGTGGAAGGGCGTAGTATTAGTAATAGAAACAACGCTCGATAACTTTTAGGGCCGATTACCTTATCTTCTTCCTAAGTAGAGAGGAAAGACTAGAACGAGATCTTATTATCGCACTATAGCCCTCTTAGGCTGTTTATCGTATATTCCCTTCCTATCCTCTCCCCTTATTATCCGGTATCGCTAGCTATCCTCTTCGTTATTACTATAATATCGATAGCACTAGATAAAGGCTATACTTTCACGATCTAT